ATAAATTTCTTTGTATAATATGATGTAAAAAAATAAGGAGCTTGTACTCGAGGAAAAAAAAGCCCTCATTTTTTTTTCAGAGACCCAAACTGAGCAAAAGCAGGCATTTTGATACAGTTGCTGATATTTATATGCATGTAAACGTGCATGTAAGTAAGATTACTTACATAAAATGCATATAAATATTAGTTATCATTTTATATCCCCCAATAATGTTTTAATAAGAAGATATTTAAATGCTTCGTTTTATGATCAATGCTCTGTTTTAATTGTCCTCAATTGATGTATTATATTTAATACTTAATTTTAACATTATTTTTTTCTAAAAATGATGTATGGATAATCAAGTAAGTGTCTTCAATCTAGTAAGTGTTCATCTTGAAAAATCACTAACAATATAAAATTATTCTTATGTGTACTTCATAAAAATCATGAAAGATTTCACAGCAAAACAACATCACGATGCATCATGACCTGAAGGCCTTTTACTTGCTAAAAACTGTAAATTATCAATCAAATGACAGAAGGCATGTACTAGATGGTGTACAACAGGTTTTTCAGCAAGGTTTTTGATCATATTGATAACTCCAAGGACTTGGAAATTTGTGTATCAAATGTGATGCAGTAGAATTTATAGGGTTAAATGTTTCATTTTTTTTTTAATTTCAAGGGGATGATGCCCAGTTTGAAATGGATATCTAACTACAACAGAGGACCTGCTACACGAAGGAGGCGATGACTGTAACAAGTATTACTGTGATGATAACTGTTCCCTGAGAGGATAAATGCACAGAAGACTTCTCCTTCCATGTCATCTGTCTTTTTTCTTTCATTTACCTGCTGTTTAAATGATATTTTCCTTTCCTGTACTGATGCTGACGTTCAAGACGCGCACAAAGCCATTATTTTAGATTCTCAACATCAGCTAACACTGTTGTGCCTGAAAAAGCCACTATCTCAGATGACAGATAGTGCATCCCAAGCACATCGATGCAGCTCTACTTCTGCCTAAGACATGGAGGACATCTCACAGGCCACCATGTGACATTGTTTGTTTGATACAGATTTGTGTAGTTTTACAGAATGGTCATTAGAGGGAGCAATGGTTCTCTTGGTGGTTTTCTCATCAAGAATGGTGTGGAGGAAATCCAGATGCCAACTCCTATAAATTTAGCATACCGCCCGCAATCAGTGCATTTGACCACTTTCCATTTGGCATTGATACTTTTTGTAATGTAAAATCTAATTTCTGTTTATCCTAATGAGTATGCTCACCTAAAGTGTCATTCAACATAATGTAAAATGCCTTTTTCTTTTTTTTTTTTTGCTGTGAAGTTCTCTAAAACTGCCCTGTTATTTCTGAAGAGACATTTAAGCATTAAAAAAAATAAGAAATAAACACCAGAGAATTGATAAGTGTTTTCCTTATTCATCTGCTGTTGCTGATTTTCTCATGAAAAAAAACAATACCATTATGAAAACACTTTATTACATTTGGTAATTTACATACTCTACTATTTACAAATTAGGCAAACACACAAAGCTTTCAAAATAGCATTCAGTAATCCAGGTGCCTCAGTGCAGGATACCTCATTATTCCAAGTGAAAATACTGTACAAATTAAAGCAATTTATCTTAATTTATGCTTAAATATGTATTTCTGGTTTAAGGCACATATCTAAAGTGCTAGTGTTGAGTTCATTTGGGGTTTGGAGACTCAGTGGCAGCCACATTCTCCTACAACCATCCCTTCGTGGTGTCTCATGACCATCTTGCTGTTCTCATAGTAGAGCATTGGGAGTGGAGCCAGACGGGTGGGTATGCAGGACAAGCATGGGACGCGATCTGGGTGGTGCAGCTTCAAAAGACTCTGCAAATGAGAAGACGACAAACATTAGAATCAGTCTGGCAAAGAGTAAACATTTTAATTGCAATTATTTCAAAGATTTCGAGATTCTTACGTGCATGTAGGCATGGTTGGTGGGGGTGAAGGTCTCATCTACAGGAGTAGGACAGCTCCCTTCACATCGATAGGCATTATACCGCTTCGGATAAACAATCCAGTCGCTCCAACCGATCTGATCGAAGTCTACCCACATATCCACCTTCCTGCAGAGAGATTTCTTCTCCCCTTCTTCTTGTGAAACACCAGGAATCACGCTAGCTGCTGCATCACGCACTCTGTCATCAGTCCGGTGGTTCCTCCTGTGACGCCGAGGCGCAGGTTCACCTCCACCAACGGCCCGCTCCAGAGCTACGTACTTGGAGTGCTCAGCAGTCTGGATGAGGGTGGATGTCTTTGCCCGGTTCTGCTTGGAGTAAACCACCATCATGACTCTGCTGGCTGTCAGATGCTGGACGTTCTCACGCCCCTGGCCCTCAGATCTTGCAGGCATCTGAACGGGTTCCTCTGAGAACACGCTCTCACCTTGGTGCAACCAGTACTTGAGCAGCGCCGTGATGTTGAAGACCCTCCAGGAGGAATGGGAGGTGGTTGAGTCAATCGGTTTGGTTTTCACAGTGCCAAGTTGAATCCGTACTTCGTCGCAAGGGCTTCGATCGCACTCACGTTTGGATGCATGATAAATGTCCACCTCCATCTCCGAGGCGAATGCTGGAAGGCGAATGCGAAGCTCAGACTGCTGGACGTTGTCGCTCGCTGATATGGAGGACATGTCAAATGTCACGGATAGTTTGTCACCAACCTGATGGCAACCTAAAAAATATTTGGACAAGAAATTAGTGACTGGTCAAAGGACAGACAATTAAACAGTCTAGAAAGGTGTGGTGCTTAATTATCTTAAAGGATGTTTTCACACATGGCCACATTCGGGACAAGCAATTAATAAAGTAGAAAGTTCTTATTGTTTAGATGTGTATTGCTGCCCAAGCCACTTTGAAACAGACGTCTTGAAGCTAATACACACGCTAACTAATAAGCATAATACATGACTTGGCTATTAGCCTAGAACCAGCTAAACTACTAGGCTACCTATCAAATTATTTTGTATAAACTTGGTCTTGTATAAACCTGAATAGATTTGTTTTGCGATAATGACCGGCGGGTGACTTTACACCGCTACGGATACTTACTAGCCTAAGTAAACAAATAAATAAATGTGAATAAAGCGTTATTTTAAATTATTTCATTTTTTACTCGTGATGATAACACGAATTCTGCAGGAATTGCCTATAGTTAGTCTCGCGAATGTTTGACCGCTGAATGCAGACTGGCCGTGCAATAAAATCCATGCCGCTTTTTTCATTTTTAATTTATTACAAAATATGTTTAATTCAATTAATATAATTTGTAACATCTAAAAAGCAAACAAAATATCGGTAGGCTATTGTAAAACGTTATAATGTTAATGTATAAAGTAAAAAATGTTAAAAATATATTATATTTAATAATAATAATATATGTATATAGCCTTCTTACTCTTGGCGACGAGACTCAAGACCGAATCAGACTCATAAAGAGTTGGATTTTCATGGCTCATATGTTTGTCGTCTCCCGTTAGAAGGGTCCGGTAGAGGTGCAGCATATACAGCGGATATCTGTTGGTGTGTCGGCCGTGACCCGCCTGACCTCCGCTGCTCCTGCCAGGTGCTCTCATCCCGCTCCTGAACGCCTCGTGAAGTCCAGGGAACGACGCCGTGGAGCTCACCAGACTGACCCAGAGCGCGAGGACTGCGCTCAGGAGCCCGCAGGTAAACCGCCTCATGTCAAATCTAGGTTATAATCCACCACGCTGAGGAGGAACACTGTCCCTGAGATCTTTCTTCTACACCGTCCTCTGGAAAGTGAAGGTCATGAGCGCTGGCTGGCCATCTAAATTCACTTATAGAAACTTGCAGTCTTTTGATGGTCTGTGAGGTACTTTGGGTCTTTGAAGTGTCCCTGTGATCCATAAAGGGATACATGTCCCTAGGTCGTCGTGTATCGAAACCAACAGTCTTTTGTGCGTCAAAAGGTGTGAAAACATTAATTCTTCTCCTGGAGCGCTGTGTATTGGAGGTCCTTTGAAAATGTACTTTAACAATAATATTAGTGGACTACATTTGTTCATCAATGTCACTTTGATTAAAAGGAGAAAAACACCCTGACTGCTGGATTATTTCTTAGTTTGAATCAAAATAGAGGAAGTAAGTTTGTTTCTATGGCTTTTCATTGTATCAGAAGGACATACAAATAGTAATTATGTCATTGAAAATCTCCTCATTTTTGACATGTTACCGCCTCATTTGGATGCTTGATTTTACAAATTAGGCTACAGCATGTTATGACTATATTCTTGTGGATGATTATAATCGACTCGATTATTGGATTATAATCGTTTCTTCTTGATCAAGGGAGGGGGGACGTTGCGTGTAGCTTATATATAAATACATTCAATATTCATATATTGTAGCCTATTTAGCAATCGGTATGTCAATTAGCCTACAACATGATAAAAAAAAATGTTTTTCATCATTAGCAATTCGTGACTTTATAGATAAGAGCAATGAATTATTCATTTAAACTGGTCGCTTTTTTTCCCAGTCATGTTTTGGATAAGGTTTGCATTATGGAATCATAAAGAATTGTTATTGAGAAATTAAGTGGTGTAGTTATTATAGATAGCCTACTGAATAATATGTAGGCTAGGTCTGCTCATACCTCAAACGCGTGGATTTGACGCCACTGTAAAGTCACTTAGAAGAAATGAAAAACAAAACATCAGATTTCATCTGACAATTGTGCATCATACACAACCAATTTTTACGCATAGATTTGAGAAGCATACAGAACCCCACAGACAATTTCTTTCTTTCTTTCTTTCTTTCTTTCTTTCGTTCTTTCTTTCTTTCTTTCTTTTCCTGCTGGACTGTCGCAGCTCCCCGCTGGCCCGCACACCACCCTGCTGCCTCCCTAACATTCCGGGGGTGACCAGTCCTCCTGCGGTCACCATGAATAATGACAAGGTCTACCCCAAACAGACTGTCAATAATAACAGCATCAGCCCCCTGGCGGACAAGAGCGCAGGTAAATGTGCACTGAAGCTAAAATTTATTATTAACCATGTAAAGCCTGATATATGAAATAATCACATTTTATAATATCTAAACATAATAATAACAATAAAATGTATATTGTTTTATTATAACAAAAATGAATATTCTTTTAAAATAATAAAATTTGTAGCCTATAAATGTTTTTTTAAATGGAACAGTTTAACAAAAAATACCTACATCAGATTTCATCTGACAATTGTGCATCATACACAACCAATTTTTACGCATAGATTTGAGAAGCATACAGAACCCCACAGACAATTTCTTTCTTTCTTTCTTTCTTTCTTTCTTTCGTTCTTTCTTTCTTTCTTTCTTACCACGTATAGCGTCGTAAAAGCATGTTATCCAACAGGGGGCACTGCCTTCAAAGTTTCACGTTCTGTCCAACGCCAACTTGTCTCTTCAATATGATTAGCCAAATCGTAATCAAAGTGATAAAGCTCAATAATTCTCTCTGTAGGCAACTAAAAATATCGACTGCTCATCCTTGCATCACTCATTTCTCTCGACGCGGCCTGTGTGATGTGTTGACAAGCTCTGCGCTAATTCTGAGTGCTCAGGTGAGATTCATACGACGGATGGAGCATATGCCGCTGTGACGTGCACACACACATTATTTCCCGTCACAGAATCGAAGCAGACCAGCTGTGAATGTCAGTGGCAATCTCACACATAGTAACACTGATAAGCAAGACAGAAATTGGCACTGAGCCTTCCTCCCACACACTCAGTTATCACATACGGAGCCATTTGATGCTAATAAGTGTCAGATCTTATAGGCTACATTTATTCTCCATTGTTTTGTAGGATGTCTTTGTGAATTGTGGCTCGAAATACTTTGTTTTCCACTAAAATACTCTTTTTTTGTGTGTGTATATACGCATGTCTGTCTGTCTGTCTGTCTGTCTATTTCTACAGTACTGTTTTTTTAACAGTTTCTTGCTGTGTACAGTATGTTACTGTGGATTTAGGTGTTTTTACAGTATTATTACTGTATTCTCAACAGTTTCGTAACATGTATGCGGTGTACACATTGATCTATAATAAAACAAGAGCCCAAAAAGAAAGAAAAAACAGAATTTAAAATGAAAATGTCAATGAAATTTGAGTGGTTATATAAATATTTTAGGTGTTTCTGCCTGGATATGGTCACGTGACCTGCTCAGGTTATATAAAGAAAAGTGACAAAAAACACAGGTAAAAAAGAAACAAAGAAAGAAACCATTTTCTACCAACAGGATAGGCCTACATTAAAATAAACAATAAGTAAATATCAAATTAAACAAGAATTTGCTGATTCAGATGAAGCCAGTTCTGTTTTTTTAATATATATGATCACAAATTAAATTATAACGCAAGTTAAAATGTTTTGTTATTGTTGTTTTGGTGTGTGCTTGTGTCTAAATTCAGAGACTCAAGACTTCTTCTGTCATGTCAAGATGATGATCATGTGTGATTTCATCCTCAGTCTCCTGTATTCATCTTTACAATGTTAAGAAATTTTTTTTTTTGTGATATATTTGATGAATTTATCATGCTATGCTATCCATCCATCCATCAATCTATCATCTATCTATGGTAGCTCTCTAGCCATCTATTGACCTTTTTCTGCCATGCATTTTAAACTCGAGATCAGTGCGGATGTTTATGATTGATGTGTATGTGTGGTATGATATGGACATGGATATGGCCTTGCTCTGGGCAGACAACCTAATTAATCACCAGGGACCCTGATTGCTGTGAATCGGTTTGCAAAACAGAGACCTTAGGCCTCTCTGGTAGAGGAAAAAATGGGAGCATGGAGAAGGAAAACAGAATCAAGCCCTTTGTGTGGCACTGGAAGAAAAGTGCACACTTGCGTTAGGGACGGCTACAAAACAAAAAGGCCATGCAATATGAAAGGGCCGCCTTTGTGTCATTTGAATAATGGGGATAATTACCCTCTGTCCGGCGAAGCACCTGCATTTGAAATAAGCCTTTGATACCAACTTAAATTCAGTGAGATGGTGCTGTTTGATTCAGATTCAAGCAGACGCCGTCTCTGCCGTTACAGCAGCTGGGGAGATTACTGTGTCAGCAGACTGACTGCACTGCACACCTCTGAATGCATATGTGATAATATACATGAAAAAACAGAGGGTGGTGTAACTTATGCCTTGCTGCAGACAATATTTTGGGGGTTTAATAAACCTCATCTCATTATCAAAGTGCAGATAATGTGAGTCTTTATTATTATTATTTGCTAATTCTATCCAGACCTGAGACTTTCAAAGCAGGCAGGACGTCATGTGTCAACAGATACCTCAGTATAGGAGATAAACAGATAGTCTTTTACGCACCTACAAAGCTGTCTCTTTTTAATTTGGTTGCACTGCCAGGAGTCCCTAGATGAGCAGCGTCTCTCATTAAACCACAGTCCTGACATTGTTCGCTAGGAATGGCTTTTTTTTCTGTCAGTCTGATAGCAGAAATTGCAGGGACATTGTAACACGAAAGCACTGAAATTGCTCAGAAAGTAGACGTATTTTGTTACTTTTTATTCTCAAAGCATCAGAGGCAATACATTATTCTGACAAAGATCATTGTTGCTTCGGGCTTGAATCCCACACCACAATGTGCTCATTATGGACTCTTTGATTTAATTTTGACCGTGGACAGGTCAATATGGCTTTAGGTTCCATGCTGTATCTTTAACTCTTGCTGAGAAGGCACAATATATATTTGAGTTATTTTTATTATAATAGAGATCACATAGAAGAATGTGGTTTCCAGGTACTTGTGGAATCCTCTTTCATGCATCTCGAATGTTGGTGAGTGTCATAGATGATCCTTTACCGATGCTTTTATTAGATAGCTGAGTAAATACATTCAAGCTTTTCTTTAGTCTGCACTATTATGGTCAGTAATCTATCGCTTGTCCTTTTCTCTCTACGACAGCCAGCCATGTGCCACTCTGAATTTGCCACGGTAAACATCAAGATTTTCAGGGCAGCTGGAATTGACAGAAACAGAGCATTTGCCTCCAGGACAGGATAATGAGTATTTGTGGGGATTTTTTTTTTTTTTAGAAATTTGGACAAAATGCTCATTTCAAAATGCTGCTGTTAACATCTGTGCTGTTCCTTGATGCTGAGGCTCAAAAGAAATATCAGGGATGAAAATTTCACAATTTTGGCCATTTTTCACTTGTTTTGGAAAAATAGCCAGTTGTGAGGATGAGATAGAAATTCTGCACTGGTTCGTAAACGGAAATAATGTAAAAATGAAAATGCAATAATAAAATACAATTGTCACAAGATTAACGTCATTAATTTATTAATTATAATAAAGCATGTTTTATATTGACAGCCATAGTGCTATTAGTTTTCTCATCAGGATTTTACATCTAACATTACTCTCATGATGGACTTAAAAAAAAAAAGATTTCGTGAAAATCGAAAGTAAATCTTTTCCAGCTATTATTTTATGCATATTTTTGTGTTTTTATGTTTGTGTTTATTTATTTAGTTTTTATTTATGTATTTATTTGTTTATTTATTTTAATATATACAATAGCTTTCAAAGGTTTGGGAGCAGTAAGATTTTTTTTTTAATGTTTTTATGCTTAGCAAGTCTGCATTTATTATTTTTTAAGAAGGTAGTCCCTTGCAAAGGAATCATCCGATTTGGG